AATCATGGAAGGGGCAAATGGATGCCGTCCACAAATGCTCATGAGCACATTATCCCCAGGGCGATGATGGATGGCAGGACCCGGGTGTGACTAGGGAAGCGTTGGGTCAGCAGATGCGTAGTAAGATGAAGTTGCGACACTGTAGGACAAGGATTCGGAGCATACCCCACGTTATCCCTTCAACAAATCCTTTTGGCAAAAAAGAGCTGATATTTGTTTCGCATTCCATCACAGCCAGTAGCCAGTGTCATTGAACCTAAAATCACCAGGTGATTGCCGCGGCGTAACAAGTACTCTGCCGCACATAGTGGACGCAAAAGTACTGCCCACTGGCAGTTTTACATTCTTAAAGCCACATAATTTCTGGCAGCTCTTAAATACTTTGTTTCATATAATAACAAGTAAAGATGCAATTATACAGTGCTGCCGTAAATGCAGGGATTTTTATTGTTTCAGTACACGTGAACAACCTTTACAGATTCACTTTTCGCGCATTACTTTGAGACAGTAGCATTGATAACACCCTCCATTGTCAATTTGGCTCTCTAGGTTAAGAATTGCGACCCAGTGGGTCTTGCCTGTTTTTACGACGATTGAAGGCACTTCGTGGTGAACACTCATTTTGAGAATGCGCTCTTACGTCTGGCCATGCTAACAGTTCAGGTAATAAATATGCGTAGCAGACTCCCCAAGTGATATTTTAGCTATGAGGCTTAAAAGCTCAGAAGGTCCATTAATTTATTCGTTCAATGAAGCTTTCAAAAAGTATTGAAATCTTCTTTAGGCAAGGATTCCGCTTTTTCTATCTTCGTTAAGTGTACTCAACGGACAACCATACTTAGTATCAAGCCGATTTAACGGTGCAAAAAAAGCATATTTTTTGCAATCTCATGAAGTTTCTAAAATCTATGACGTTTTATTAGCAAAAATGTCTATAAGAGACAGCATTTCCCGTTTTGACTCTGCTACAAATACCATCGATATATCCAGCAATTATCCACCGTCGATTCGTTTCTTTTGGCCGCTTTGCGGCTTTATGCTTATCCCAAAATTAACGTAGTTTTTGGATTCATCCGTTGCAATGTGCGCCATTTTGACTCTGCTCAAGAGTTTGCAAAGTTGTCAAAACTTTTTCTTTGACGTACGTGTGCATCCTTGGATTTTACGAAAGCAGTTCTCCAAATGCTGACATACAAAATAAACAAAAACGACTTTACCCTGATGAGAAGTAAAGATGCAGCCAATCTTGTGAATGCATTTACTCATTATTTTTGAAATGTGTCATTGAAGTGATGATTTCCGAGTATTTCTTCACCACAATATGTGCAGCACCTGCTCGACTATTTTTTCTATGCTTTACAGTCATCTGATACTTAACCGGGGGCAAGAAACAAAGCATTTAAGTAATATTAAGATGAACGAAGAATGATAATAGCTAATCCATCGTACAAACAGTATAACAATATGTACTGTCGCAGAAAATGCATGAACAAATACAATAGTTATAGGGTGACACATATGTGGACCTTGCACTGCTTTCACAAGTACCTATCTAGGCACCCATTCGTTAGCGCGCCACAACAGCATCATTGCCAAATGTTGGTCCACGACAGTCGTCAACGTGACTTCCATCCTACTCCGATGCTCGCAAAACCAGTTCAGAATTTTCCGATGCTTTTTGCTGTTGTTCTCAACGGAGCTGAGAAAATACTCATCTACGCTCACATCATTTTTACTCATCTGATTTTTGTGATACATCGGGCGTATTATCGACATACTAGCAAATTGCTTTCATTGACCCGACCTAAGCTTTTCTCTTTCACTTCATTGTGGCAAGGGGCTCACCAATTAAGTTTGAACTTTGTGCGACAAAGGAAAGATGCTGATTTTCCTTTCCTGCTGAACTGTCACCTAATGTTAGCAAAGAACAGGCGCACACTTGGCCGACAACTGTATAACTGCTAAAAAGCTAACGCCTTTGTTGGCCTACTTTGTCACCTTGGATGTCTGCTCGGTGAACACATTGCGTCACGCGTTGCTCAGTGAGAATGTAGTGACTTAGAGGTTCCCCCGGATGACTGTGTAAAATATTTTTAAATATTAGTAATGGGTAGACGGATTTAGGTATGATTTGAGTTGGTTCATCGCAATTAGATTCCAGGCCGCATAGGTAAGCTACCAATCGGGAACAGCACCAGACGCGCGTTTCGCCCCATTGGGGCTTTTTAGTTGTGCTCATCCATCGGTCCCCTACTGGGGATCGAACCCATGACCTCTAGAGCCTAACGCCAACTAGCCAGCAGCTAATGCTACTGGGCCATGTGGGACGACAGCCGACCATTACGAATTGAAACCTAACTGCGATTTAGCCCGAACCATCCGCCAATTCCGTGCAGGTTATTGCCCATGCTGACGACAGTGGTTGGCCGTCACGGTCAGGTCTTCCCTTGCCAGCGCCTTGAATCCACACAGCACCTTTGAATACTGATAAATCTTAGGTATGTTAAAATTATAACTTTCTTATGTGCTAGGGAATTAGGCGGTTTGCGTGTTGGAATCCTGTTCCCGTTTGTCTGAAACATGAACACGATCTCCGCCTTTGGCTCGCGCGACTCGACTCCCAACGATGCTTCGTCCATGTACTCGACACCCAACCACATGCTCCCTAACTAGCTCTCTCCTTGTGCGCTATGCTTAGCATTAGCTAGCTCTTCTCCCGTTCAGTAAACGTTTTCCTTAGCTCAACTGTTATGTGTTCTACCCATTGCCTTTAGTTGGTCGTCTAGTCTCGTACCGGATATATAACGCATGCTCATTGCGCTATAATTGGTGACCCCGATAAAACATTTGGTGAGTTTGTTATTAATATTTCTTTTTAGATCCGGTAACTTATTCTATCAACCCTATCAATTCTACTTTTTCCTCTTTGGGTTTACTTACACTGGCTCCGTATACTTTATTCACCATGTAAGGCTTTCACCCAGATTCGGATGATCAGGTTAGTGGGTTACGTTTCCCTCTCCTGCCTTTCCTGGAGACTAATCTTAAGGCCTGGTTTACGAAGCTAGAATCCACCTTTTGTTACATGGCATTAAGTCTGACAGTGTCAAATTTCACTGTGTTGTCGCAGTGCTTCCGCCGCAAGCCGTCAATGACCTCGACAACATATTGGACCTTCCCGATTATCAGAAGTGTTACGACTAGCTTAGAACCCTCATCATAAAGCGATTCGGCATATCGGATCATGTTCGCGTTGTGCAGCTTCTTAACGAAACCGAGCTAGATGATCGAAAGCCTTCTCAGTTTTTGTACAAGCTGCAGTCTCTAGCTAAGCCTCTCTCTGTTGGCGGCTGTTTTCTTAAAGAGATGTGGCTTTGTCGCCTGCCACGTGATATACGTAGCCCCCTGCATGCAAATGATGCTTCTTTTCTTTACTCGCCGATATTTCCGACCGTAGTTGGGAACCCAACGCCCAAATATCTCAGGTTCAGTCTGCAAGCTTCAAACTTCGCTTAGGATAGTTGGACAACGCTTAGGGCACCTATTCGCGGCCTCCGACAGGGGATCAATGAGCGACAAGGATCGGAGTTGGTGTGTAGGCACCGGAGAAACAAAAATGCCACAGTCGATGCTGAACTACGGTGCTATTATACAAAGAGTAAAAGATCAAAGTGACAACATACTTCAACAATGTCCTCAAACAAAGACAAGTACAATCAGTTGGCCGTTACAAGAACAGGACATCAATACGGTCGTCCAGTCAGCAAAATGACCCAGCGCGGTTACATGACATGCGAGACATGCACCAGTGAGCCAATCAAGAAACCAACAGCCACTAGTCCAATCACATCAAGCAGGTTCAATGGGGGACACATTATGAAGACCTGAGGTTAGGGGCACATGTCAGCCGGATGGGTGGTGTGTCCACCTCACAAAATCTCCGGTCTACCCTGACCTCAATAGTAACACGCAAATGGAACAAGTGCGAAGCAGCGATCGATAAAATGGAGCATGCATCAAAGAAAGTAGCGAGACAGGTGGTGGCACCAATGTAAGGTGGGCATGGAAAACAAACGACTAAGGGTCATGCAGGGCGGTATACGTGGAACGTTCAAACAGAGTGAATTCAAGGGGAATTAGGGCAATAATGTGGGTCCAGGCGAAGGGTGATGGCTGTTGACAAAATGGACGTTACACTCCCCCGCGGAAATCTGTCCCGGATTTTTCAGTGGTTGAGGACGACACGTTCTGTTCTGGATCGCCCTACGCCAACTCCATCCGCTATGGGAGGTCACAGGACTAACAACGGTACGCCTGATCCCTCCCACTTCGGCTGTTGGACGCACAGTGGTCCTCCCTGGAGCAGCAGGTCCGACGACCCGCCTCCCACCTGCGGAGAGCCAACAGCCGGAACTACATTCCCACCCGTGTCACTTCCTTCTAACAAACAGAGCTTACGCACGTCTCTCTTGTACAACCCTTCCTTTGTTCTGACAACAGCCGTCCTGACGAGCCCATCTCCAGAATCAGTGCAGCTCTCAATAACTCCCAATGGTCATGTTCCACGCGAGCTCGCTTCAGAAGAGACCAAAACCACGTCATCTGGTCTAAAATTTCGACTGCTGTGTAACCACTTTTGTCTCGATTGCAACAACGGCAAATACTCGCTGACCCATCTTTTCCAGAACAACGCAGTTAGGTAATTCATCTGTCGCCAACAGTGGTTATATTCTTCAGGCAGGGCCGTTAATATATGCGTTGCGTTGGATCGCAATATCGGCAAATCGTTAGGTGTAAGTGCCTCGCGGTCGTTGGGGTCCGAAGTTAGCGGTACAAGTGGTCTACTGTTGACGATGCGCTCCGCTTCAATAAGGAGAGTGTTCAGTGTCTCGTCATCCAACGTCCGCTGCCCTGCGACAGATAACAGGATCCGCCTAACAGACCTAATGATGCGTTCCCAAATACCACCACTGTGAATGGCCATCGGTGGGTTTTAGTGCCACTGCACTCCTATACTCAGTAGCTTATCATTGATCTTTGCTTGTGACCAGCTCTTCATGGCAGTACGCAACTCAGTAGCAGCACCCACAAAATTGCCCCCATTATCACTGAATATTTCGGCCGGGGTCCCTCTGCGGGCAACAAATCGTTTCAGGGCCATGATAAAAGAGTCAGTACTCAATGTAGGTGAGAGTTCGATGTGTACGGCTCGTGCTTGCATACATGTAAATAGGCATCCATAGCGCTTCTCTTGTCTCCGCCCGTGTTTAACAATAAATGGTCCGAAATAATCCACGCCGACAAACTTGAAGGGGTGCCATCCCCGTTCCACACGGGCTAGCGGCAACGGTGCCATTAGCTGTTGACCGGCAGTGGCGAGTCTTTTTTTGCATGTCCAACAAGTTCCTATTAACCGCTTTACTGCCGCCATTTCACGAACTATCCAATATGTACGGCGTAGACTCGCCAGAACTTGAGAAACACCTGCGTGACCTTCCAGCAAGTGATAAAAGCAGATCAACAAATCGGTGACAGTGTGCTTGGGAGGTAGTATAATTGGAAACTTACAGGAAGCATCGTACTCCGTGTAGGCCAACCTACCACCTAGACAAAGCAAGCCATCACGCATTATTGGGTGTAGTCGCGCCAGAGGACCTCGCAGTTTTTCCCCCTTAGGAGACGCCGAGTCCCCAGCTATCTTTTCGAGTCGTGTTAGTTCCGTTCGATAAAACTCGAGCTGCGCGATTCGAATGACGTCGTACTCGGCCCTGTGAAGTTCCTTTAGAGTAATTAACCGAGCATGTTGCAGCACTCCACTGGTTCCAAACCTACGAGCATTCAAGTACTGCTTGAATCGCGACAGCCACACAACAGTTCTTAACAACTTAATCCAGTCTGAATACCCTTGGATTAGAGTAGACAATGGTGTTTCCTTTGAGGTTGCGTAGACCTGAACAGTAGAATGCTTCAGTTCTGCATCTTCCGGCTCGCAACTAAGGCGGAATTCGGGCCAATCATCTTTCTCGCTCAGCAGAAAATCTGGCCCGAGGAACCAGTTCTTTAAGGAGGCTAGAGATGTAGTACTTCTCGATGGCGGATCAGTAGGATTGCAACCGGATTTGACGTGTTTCCATTGGCTGGGTGTGGACAATTCATGGATGATTGTCAGTCGGTTGGTGACGAAGGTGCTAAACCTTTTAGATTCATCATTTATGTAATATAAGACCGTGGTAGAATCTGTCCAGAACCATACCTTTTCGAAAACTAACTGAGCCATCTCGGCCACATCCTCATACAGTTTCGTTGCAAGCACGGCCGCCGACAATTCGAACGGTGGGATTGATACAGCCTTTAGAGGGGCTATTCTTGACTTAGCATATAACAATGAGCAGTATGCGATGTTCTCGGTGCGAAACCTAGCATAAGCAACCGCACCATATCCATTCTCTGAAGCATCACAAAAGATGTGCAATTGTGGTCGCTCTTCAGGCCCAGTGAACCTGCGAATGCACCGGGGTATCTTCAAAACATTTAGAGCCTTCATATCACTTAACCACGCACTCCAGATTTTTTCCTATGCGCTGGTGATCGGGTCATCCCAGTGCGCCTTGTCGCGACACATCGTTTGAAGGAGTAACTTCGCGGGCATAATTAAAGGGACAATAAAACCCAAGAGGTCATAAATGGACAATACCGCAGACAAGATGCCCCTTCTCGTTTTCGGCCTATCTGGTATTGCGAACTGATAAAGAAAGGCGTCCTCACGAGAATCCCAAGCTATCCCCAGTGTTCGCTTCACCGATCCAGATGCTTCAGCCAAAGGCTTGACCGACCCGGTGACCTCTGTAAAAGGAATCGCACTATACACCCCTTCGTGGCTGCTGACCCATTTACACAACTTGAACCCTTCTTTGCTCAGCATCTCCCTGATCTGTGCCACAAATTGCGTCGCTTCTTCAACGGTTGGTAGTGAGAGCAGAAGATCGTCGACGTAGAAGTTATGGTGTACTGCTGCGGCTACACTCTCATTATAATGACATCCCCATTAGCTAGCTGTTCGACGCAAGGCAAAGTTGGCACAAAACGGTGATGAAGTGGCTCCAAATGGATGTGCCGTCATTTGATACTCGATCACTTCCAAGCCAATCTCGTCATCCTTCCACCATAGGAAGCGTAGCGCGCCTCTGTCACTCAGGGGCACCCTCACCTGCATAAACATATCTTCAATGTCTGCAGAAACCGCTACCATCTCAACCCTAAAACGCAGTAGGTCTCCGATTAGATCCGCGGTAGTGTCTGGTCCTTGAAATAGTTGATCGTATAGGGAAAGCCCTTTGTGCCTTGCGGCGCAATCAAACACCACTCTAAGTTTGTCCGGCTTCTTTGGATTAATCACTGCGTGGTGCGGTAAATACCATTTTGGTGCATAGCCTGGTTGTAAGTGCGCAGGTGGCACCAAAACTGCGTATCCTTTAGTCCTGCTTATTTCCAATGCCGCCGTGTACCTTTCGCGCAATGTTGGATTGTTTAGTAGTCGTCGACTCAAACAGTGCAATCTGTGAAGAGCTGACCCATAATTATTTGGAACAACTGCTTGTCGATTTCTCCAAGGTAGAGCTATTTCGAAGTGTCCCTTCACTAGTCGTATAGAATTTTCAGCGATGGACAGTGCTGTCTTATCCTCTATGGAGAGGGAGCGGGCGCTGGAGCCGACACCTTCGAACCCACCATCATACAACATTTTAAGTTGTGCTTCTAGCGAATAATCATCCACTTGCACACAGTTTACGGAAGCGCAATGCTGACCACTCATGTTCACAGGCCCCAACAATATCCAGCCGAGTAGGGTTTTCGCGGCAAACGGGTGTTTCCTACCACAAGTACGGCGTTCAATTTGCCAATGTGCTTCGGGTACATCTGCACCTATCAATACTCGGACTCTGTTATCCGTCAGATCATCAAAGGGGATGTCCGATAAGTGTGGCCAGTGCTTTGTCAGCTGACCACAAGCGTTTCCCACTGATCGTAATGGCAAGCGCTTCAAGCAGTAGGCACGTTCAACTGTGACGTAGTCTGCACTTCTCAACGCCGACAAGCGGAAATTGGCCACACCTGCTTGCAAGGATGTAATACCACTTAGTGTCTGCATCGTCAAAGATGTAGGGTCAACGTTTACGCCCGCCTCCTGCAAAAGGTCCTCCTGCACTAGCGTCACATCCGAACCAGTGTCTAACAAAGCATAAGTGTTAATTGACCTTAACGGGCCATCTAAACGCACCGGTACCACGCCCAAAGAGACCCTGTTGGGAGAGGTAGCGGCCGCATTAAAATTATTTGAGTAATCCTGGGGAGTAACAGGGGCTCTGTCGCGATGTAACAACGAGTGATGCCACCCCTTACACGTAGACAGGCTGCATCCTTTATTGCTGCGACAGCTTGAAGCTCGGTGACCCAACCCTAGACAGTTGTAGCATCCACCGATTGTTCTGACAATTTCCCAACGAGCCGGGACAACCATATCTAAGAATTTCTCACACGATGCTACAGTGTGTTCACCGCAACAAACTAGACAAGCCGATCCATTGGCCTTCTCTGATACTGTGTAAAGGGAGAAGTTCCTAGTTTTTCCCTGATCAGCTAATCTTGACGGCTGTGCGGTAGTCTGGCTTCGTGGTGTACTCGCGGTCGCTATTTGGCCGAATCTACTCCGAGCTACTCTCCCCTCAGCAGCAACAAAGTCTCCCAAATCTCGAAATTCAACTTCTCCTCCGCGTTGAATTATAGCATCTGCCACCCTGGCCCATCGAGATTGCAAAGCATTGGGCAAACTACGAACCACTCGTTCAATGGTGGCTATAGAGCTCAAATCGGCCGTGAAATTCATCTGAGATAGAGCTAGATGGCAGTTTTCCATCTTCAGTGACAATTGCGACAAAGCCTCACAGTCGTCCCTAAGGGGCCTTAGACCAGTAAGCAAACCATCGATCAAGGATCGAGCAATGACATGATTTTGACCAAAAAGATTTTGAAGAATGCATCGAGCCCTGTTATAAGCCAACTCTGGTGGAAGTATCGTGCATTCACAAATTGCCTCCTTAGCACGCCCTCTGCAATAATACACAAGGTACAGCAACCGCTGGCCGCTATCACTTACGCGACCCTCAACGAAGTAATCAAACTGTTTGATGAACCTCCAATAAGTCATCGGATTACCATCAAAAAATTCTAACTCGACTCTCGGCAGATCTAGTGGCGGTTGACAAGCTCCCATAAACGGGTGGTACTACGGCATAGGGGTAACTGGAGGTGGCACTGCTTCTTGACAATCCTTCAAAAACTGACTCATACGTTCCTTTCTGATTTCAGGCACATGACTTGAGGTGGCGAGATGTTCATGGCTGTTCGCGCCCACTTCTATTTCTAACCGTAACTTAGCAATCTCCAGCTCAGTTTCGGCTTGCTTTCTCTTAAGCTCCGCCAGCCTAACAGCAGAAAGTGCACTAACCGAACATCGAGCCTGACTACCCTTACAGGTATTATGCGATCCAGAACAAGAAACATTATCGTCAACAACAGGCAAATATTCAACTTGCCGGGATCCAATCGTGTTCTGTTCAAGAATCATAGAAGTCTTCTTATGTGTTTCCATTGCAAGTCCAAAAGAGTGACGTCTTCAAACAAAGGATTGTTGAACACTGTAAGCTTCAAAATTCGCTTAGGATAGTTGGACAACGCGTAGGGCACCGATTCGCGGCCTCCGACAGGGGATCAATGAGCGACAAGGATCGGAGTTGGTGTGTAGGCACCGAAAAAACAAAAAGGCCACAGTCGATGCTGAACTACGGTGCTATTATACAAGGAGTAAAAGATCAAAGTGACAACATACTTCAACAATGTCCTCAAACAAAGACAAGTACAATCAGTTGGCCGTTACAAGAACAGGACATCAATACGGTCGTCCAGTCAGCAAAATGACCCAGCGCGGTTACATGACATGCGAGACATGCACCAGTGAGCCAATCAAGAAACCAACAGCCACTAGTCCAATCACATCAAGCAGGTTCAATGGGGGACACATTATGAAGACCTGAGGTTAGGGGCACATGTCAGCCGGATGGGTGGTGTGTCCACCCCACAAAATCTCCGGTCTACCCTGACCTCAATAGTAACACGCAAATGGAACAAGTGCGAAGCAGTGATCGACAAAGTGGAGCATGCATCAAAGAAAGTAGCGAGACAGGTGGTGTCACCAATGTAAGGTGGGCATGGAAAACAAACGACTAAGGGTCATGCAGGGCGGTATACGTGGAACGTTCAAACAGAGTGAATTCAAGGGGAATTAGGGCAATAATGTGGGTCCAGGCGAAGGGTGATGGCTGTTGACAAAATGGACGTTACACAGTCTACTTCCAGTACGGAGGTAGCAGAACT